TGTTCACATTCAGGTATATTTTCAAGCAAACTTCAAAAATATTCTATTATAAATCTTAAAATTTAATCCTTGGCAAAACTCGTTATAAACGATGTCGAACAGAACACAAAAAGTCCAGAGGATCTCTCTCTCTCTCTCTCTTTCTTTGCGTTCGTGTGCGAAAAGAACAATTAACAATTAAAAAGTTAAATTATCCGCAAAGAATGGGGGAAATTTGAATTTAAAAGATTCCAAATGATTCTTTAAATCACGTCACGTACGAATAAAAAAGAAGAAAAAATACAATTAACATCCGTGTTATGCTTGAATGGAATAAGAACGATTCGTCGAAATAACGTCGCAAGTGAATTCCGTCGCGTGTTTTCTCCGAAATTAATCTCGAATTAATTCCAAGATCAAGAGCGACCACCGTGTGCCCGTTTCACCGAACGAACGGGTGAGAAGAGGAGGAGGAGGAGGAGGGTGGTGGAAAATCAAAGGAAAGACAGGAAAGGAACGGTGGAATTTCGACGTTTCATTCAATAAACAGGGGAATGTGGGGAAGAGGGAGGATGGATCGGCAAGCGTTCCTCATGCGGCGATTGCAATCAGAGCTATGAGAAGCGTATTTCACGAAACTTCGTTTCTCGCGCGGCGAGCAATTGGACCAAAAAATCCATCGAATTGCGGTGTGCCTTAAATTTCATCGAAAAAGAAGGTAGAGATTGGCGCGTGTATCCCAGAGCAGCGTCTGAAATGCGGAGAGAGTGCCGCCCCGAGAAAATTCGTCGATGGCGGAGGATAAAGGGTCGATGGCGAGGAAGGTCGAGAGGGAGAGGGGGGGTACAGGGCGCGACGTAGGAAAATAAAAGAAGAGGAGAGAGAGAGGAGGGAGGAAGAGAGAGAGAGAGAGATCCAGAGTTCGGTCCAGTGTTTTCCAGCACTCTTCGAAAATTGCATGGCAGAGCCAGCATAAGTATTTTATATCAAATAGTTCAATGTTTGCCGAGCAACCGGAGCCAATTCGCCCGATGGCTATTCGACGCCAAGTTCAAAAATTTACGATAAAATTATTCGCGAATATTTGAATAGCAAGAGAAGTATCGGGGGCGGGTATCGTCCGCTCTAATAATGCGCCCATAGAGCCGCCGCCACCACCCCGGCTCGGACAGAATACGGCGGTGATTGATTGATAGAATTCTTTAGAATCTCTCTATCCGCCCTCTTCAATTTTCCATCCATTTGTTCCCCCTTCCTCGCCTCGTTGTTACATCAGAAACAATCAACCGTGTTTCCATTCGGATGGCTTTAACGCGGAATTTCGCAATATTTTCTTCTTTAAGATCGTCGTTGATCGGTCATCCCCCATTTGATTTCAATGATCGCTTTCCAACGAATACGTTTAAAATCGGGCACCGTTAAAGATTCCCTTCTTTTATAAGAATACAACAACATTGTAATAATATCGCGATACAAAAGTTTCCAATTCGAAACGAAGAATCTCATCAGAATCATTAGTAGCAATAATAGTGGTAATAGTAGTAGAGGTGAGCACTAGCTAACGGCGTATAAAAGGGGGCGTTTATGAAATTTTGATAATGCAACACGGGACATAACGACGCGTTTAGAGGCTCGCGAGCGAGGTAAAAACAGAGGAAAGGGTAGAAGAGGTGAATCTCGAGGCGTTCCCTCCGTGGGGGAGGGAGCGGGTCCGGTAGTTTCATTTCCTTCGCTCACGTTCCACTCTCCGTTATTAGCCTAAGCGTCTGAAGTGGCGAGAGAGAAAGGTAGGAGAGCGTTTCGCGCAGTTGACCCTTCCTGGAGAAAGTGTCAAAGGAAGGAACGTTTTCCCAAATTACGGCCCCGCGGATAAACGTCGCTCGGATAATCTTGTCCAACACCCGCTCGAATTGTGACTTGCTGACGAAAATGGGCAAAGTTATCTCCTTTGGAAATTGAACGAAACAAATTGAAAGCGCGAGGCACGATGAATTGCTCGTTAAATTGTCTCAAAGGTGTTCAACGACAATGCATTGGACGGGAGTGATTTCATAGTAATTTCTAATTACGAAGCTTAAATCGGCTCAGATTGGCCCCTACATTCGAATCGAGATCGTTTGATACACGAGGGAAATGTTTACCGTCTTAATACTCTTTTTAAAAAAAAAAAAAAAAGGAATGAGACAAAAATGTATCGAACAACTCGCGTTGAAACTTTCGATAAAATTCCAAAACTTGTTGTCATCCAATAATTACGAAATTACTTAAAGAAATGAGGATAGAGATTGCTCGATCATCCACTATCAAAGAGTAATGGTTGAAGTTCCGGCCAACACTTCGATAGAAATACCTCCATTAGCATCCCCTTCCACATTTTTCCTTTTCCCATCAACAAAATAATTTTCACAATAATTCGCAAACGGGAACTTTTCTGAATTACTCTCCTCCCTCTCTCGTTTCGCTACGACGATCGTTATTATCGTTAGAGGCGCGCGTTGGACGTTCAAAAAAGTCGAAAAATAGTCCTCGTATTTATCAGGAAACGAGGGAAACTTTCTATTCCCCGAGATTCTTTTGTCGCGCGATACGCGGTATTTCTCTCTCTCTCTCTCTCTCTCTCGAAATTTCGCGCGCGTTTCAAGGGATAGAAACTTTTTTCACAACGCCGTAATATTTCCCTACTCGCTTGTAACTTTATTCAATATAACGGAGACTAATACCACATGCCGCTACGTTCCTTATTTATTTCTACGTTCCTCCTCTCGCATTATACATCTCGCGCACTTCTTTATTACGATGCACCGCATAAAAGCATCATTACGTGATTTCTCACAATGATAAATTGTTTGCCCCCGTTGAAATATTCCATCCAGTCATCCCTCCTCTTCCTCCTCCTCCATCCCTCCCCTCTCTTTCTCTTTTTTCTTCGAGAAGGCAAATAATATCGAAGAAAATAAAAATTCGTTACGTACTCCGAGGAATATACAGGCTATTGTGCTGGAACAATGGCGGGGATGGGAAACAAAAGGATAAAAAGATGGAAAGAGAAGGTGAAAAGATGGAGGGGGAGGGTGGAAAGGTGGAATATAATAATCCGCGAGGATGGATAATGTGCAACGTTGTAACAATTTACCTCTCTCGAAGAGGAGGTATGGAATTATTTCGACGGTATTTCGAGGGCTAAAGAGAATTGGTCACAATGGTCGGACGGGCCCATTGTAACCACCTGCACGGTCGTATCGTAAATACGAATCCAGCTTCCGAAGGAAGTAGCTTCCATAATAATGGATGAAGGTGCGAATTATATTATTTTCGAAAAATTATCGCGAAACGAGGATGGATAAGGCCAGCTCATGAAAAATCGTCAACTTTTATCGCGAGTTCAAAGCTAGACACGGTGAAATTCATACGACAACTCGAGGTGAACAACTAAATATATCAACCATTTCTTTGAGTTTCAAGAAAAATTGCTCGAATCATCTGATCAAGGTTTAAACGCTGAATAAATCAGAAAGAGATTTCACCGCTGTTTTTGTTCAATTTTCCATTAATCGATTTTTCGATAACGTCCTACCACTTGATCCTCGATTTCACATTTCTCTAATTTCTCTTTTTTTTTTTTCAAGTTTAAATATCCTGAAGCTCTAGCTTAAATATCCCGTAACAAAGAGCCCGTCATTTACTTCGACCTGTTCGAATCCCAGAGTCGTTTCAAAGCAAACACGATTCACCGGAAACGAAGAATTATCCTAACAGAGGGGTAGATACAACCCCCAACTCCCGCAGATACGCAGGTTCGCGCGAAGAATCTTTGTACGAGATGTTTTTGCCCTGGTTGAATAACATTCCGCCCTTTTTCACGCCACTGTGCAGCCGATACGTTTTTTCCCATCGAACCACGTGCCTCCACATAACGTGTCAATGGTACGAAACGAACGTCTCATCCTATATTAGCCTAGTTTCGGCCCGTTCTTTTTTCCCCCCCTTCCCTCCCTCCCCCTTCTTTCTTTTTCCAACCAGCCAGTTTCAGCCGGTTTCCATGGAAGTGGTTGGAATTTCAACGTGACCGTGGATGGTAAGGATGATATATCGATGATACACGTGAAGGCCGTGTTTGTGTTTTCTATTAGGCTAATCAGGACCGTGACTGGGAATACAGGAGAGTAAATGTGTGCCAACTCGGCTAAGGAAGACATGTGTATCCGACTTGTGTACGTGTATGGAGTGCCTTTATGCGAGTACGTAGGATACATAAAGGGATGGAATCGAGGGTGAAGTGTATATAGCCGGAGTAATACAAACGGAAACGAGCCTGGTATGGAACTAACAACTGGACCGTGCTATACCGTGAGCTATATAAATTGAAGGTTTAAGGAATAACACGGGGGAGATGGTCGGCTGTCGTCGCGAAAAAATTCGTATGAATTCATAACGTTTAGGATATTTGATCCTTTGGAAAGATTTTAACAACGGATGAAAACACGAGATATGTGTGTGTAACGTATGGGTATATCATTGGATTGTCGCTTGCGCAACGAAATGAAAATAAAGCTAAGTGTTATTTGTTGTTTGTTCTCTCTGAACTGAATTAGTGGAATTGCTTCTACTAATGGATATGTATGTATATTTATGACTTAAATTCATCGATTAGATACTTATTTATCAATCAATACGATTAAATATAATTCCTACCTATGTGAAAATTATATTTTCATATTCTATCTGGCAGAAATCTAAAAGTATCATTACATACTTATCATCTACATGCTTGCCACATTTATATACTTCTACATACTTATAGAAAGATTTTAAGATTATATATATGTATATAATGTATGTATAATACTATAAGATTTGTAGAAAACTTATCTAAACCAGTTTCGAATAAAAGTTTATTTAAAAGTTTATAAAGAAAACAGAAATTTCTTTCCATTAATCTTATAACGCTTTTAATAATTAGTAAGAGTTAATAATAAGTAAGAATTAATGATAAAACAAAAGTATTTAGTAGACAAACTTACCATTTCTTTTCATTTCAGATGGAATCCAAATCTTTGTCGTATTTATTTAAGATGATTTCTGGCGAGTATATCTGAAGTAATATCTGAAACAAATTTATTTATTAGATTAGCAACATAAAAAGAAGGGACAATTGATAGATAAAAAGAAAATAAATTAAAGGTAAAAAGTATATAATAAAAATTTTATCAAATTACTTGCAACTTCAAATATTTTAAACATATAAGATTTATGTATTTTAAAAAACTTAACAAACTTATCAATATATCAAAAAAACATATATTACAGCAATATTTTTTATGATAAATGCAATATGTAATAAGAAATGTTGAAAAAAAAATACATTTAATAGCTAAGAAAGCTAATAAGTAACTATTGTATTCACTTTAATAAATGAATAAAAAAATAATGGAAAATTGTTCTAAATACATTCATTTATTGTAAAAAAAGAATAAAATATTACCTGATATGTCATAATATGGCTATAAATTGTCGTGAGATACGAGTGCTTCCTTCACAAGTCACAATAAGAACACAATTCACAATTCACAGGACGATAATCTGCACAAATAAAATTAAAAATAATGAAAAAAATGTACAAAATTATAAATAAATTAAAAGAAGCAATAAGCAATAATTGAAATTCTAATTGAAAGCTGTATAAACTACCGATAACCTCAATAGCAACGTATGCGATCGAAAGAAAAAGTACAAAAAATACTTTAAAAACTAATTAATTTTGATGTAACAATGTTTAATAAATTATTGAATAAGCAAAGCTAACAATAATATATAAATTGAACGATGAAATAAGAATAAAATTATTAAAAACTACTTACTGCGCAGTTAAAATTTCGCACTCGAACGATGACACGTCCTGTCACGATAATTTTCGACACTACAATGACGTCTCGCGCCACAGGTTCCCGCGCTTTTACGCCTAGAACGCTTCTAATTGGCTAGCGTGATATAGTTCCTTATTCACTCAAACCGCGCGAAAATTTAAATATTATATAATATTCATTAATTATGGATTCCTATAATATTAAAATTTCAGAAAGTTAGTTTGTTAAAAATATAATAAATATCAATTGTTAATATTAATTTAACATAAAAGTTATAGAAATTATAAAAAGAAGCATAATAATAAATAAAATAATCATTTAATTATTCAATAATAAATACTGAATATTTGTAATTTTAATAAGTAAATATCGTTAAAATTTATTTTAATAGACCAAAGAATTTTCAATTTTAAAGAAATTGAAAATATTTTAGAGAGAAAATAAATATAATATTTATAAAATTTAATGAATAAATAAACAAATCATATTGGATGATATATTTTCTTACTTTTGATCGTGTCAATCATATGATTATTATAATTTATACATAAAACGTATAATAATTATTCGTAAATTAAAAAAAAAAACCAAAAAAGAAATGAAAGATACTTTCAACCCTTAAAAATAGAAAATTTAAGAATCTTTCTTAGAATCCTGAATCCGAACCTGCAATATTTTCAAAACAATTTTTCTCGCAAAAATTTTAAAAAAACGATTCGCCTTCGCTGTAGATAGCCCGGCTCGTTGTCAAAAAGGAACAGCGGTTCGTGCCGTAAAACTCCTGGCCGGCCGAGAAAAATGAATGCCGGGAGGGGTGGGCATGACTAAAGTACGATTGTCCATATTTCAGACGTCGGGAAAGAAACGCAAGCACCTTTTCGTGACTGAGATAGGAGGGTGGGTGTGGAAAAAAATCGTATTCCAGAATCGGCCGAGGAAAGTCTACAAGCGTGTCGAACGAGGGAAAAGAAAGGGGATAGGTGGGGAGGGGATTGGGAGAGAACAGTCTAAAGAGACATTCCCTTCGAATACTCGAGACCAAGGGAATTTGTAACTTTATAAGTCGGCCAACTCGGCGTGCTCCACGCGCGAAAGTATTAAGTACGATGATATATATCGGTAATATACTTTCGGTGTGTCTACCGGGATTTTCGAACCGACGATCGAATCAACGCTGGTCTCAAAGGGAAGCTTGCCGTTCTACTTACTCCAGGCTCGAATCTCCACAGCACGAAGTACGGCAACGAAACTCAATATCGAAAGTAGGGCCTGTGTATAGTTTGCAAACTCGATTATTCAACTGTTTGGACATAATCGCGTCCAGCAAATACGATCTTTTCGACTTTTATCTTAAAAAAGTGTCCACCTTTCTTTTGGAAGACGGAACTTAGAAGAATACTGCTTTCGTAGTAGTATTCTGACAATTATGTATCGTCAATGAGAACTTTGAAGAATTTAAAAAGTAAAATACTCGTAATGTATTAAGATCACATATTATTAAACTTGATAATTAAAATTTCAAATAGAAATTGTTATCCTCACAAGAGAATCAATGTAATATTAATTTCGAGGTTATGTTTTCCAGGCTATAATTACATATAAGAAATGGATCGCCATTTATCGTCACAGAGTTTATCCCTTCGAACATTGAATTCGAAATTTCTAATGTCCCTTCGATCGAACATTGGTTAAACTGCCGCCCAAGGAAACGTGGCAAATCTTGGTACCATGGTGAAAAGTTCTTGGACAAAGAGTGGAAAGTGAAACGGAAGAAAAAGGAAATGAAAAAAATTATATTGCCTGATTAACATTCGCGGAGACTGAAAAATGCCACGACGACGATATAGCGTATTCTAAAAGCAGGCCTGAATGGCACGAAGTGTTACCAGTTAACGTAGTTGCCACTCGTTTCTTCGTGCGTACCGCGAATAACAGCCGGATATTCTGAAGGTATACGCGCGAACTGGCGTAGAGAAAAATGACGATGACGAGTTACAAGCTCACCATACGTCTCTGGAAATACGTTTACCAGTTGGATACAAATTAAATGAGAGGCCGGGATTGACCACTCGGGGGATTTTGTTTTATAAATGAAAGAGAAGTTGCGATTCTGCACCTTTCGCGCAATTTATTCTTTCCTGCTCACGTCGTTTTGTTGCAGGAAATTGAATAACCTTGTTATTCGACTTTTCATCCGGTTTCGAGCGATTGGATCGAAATTGAAAAGTGCTATGGTAATTCGTATTTGCGAATTAGTTTTTTACGAAATAAATCTCGTCGAAATTGGTACGATTTCTCAAAATTATTGCGATTATAAGTGAAACACATAATCTCTCTCTGTGATTATTTATTTTAGAAAGAAAGATACATTGACATCGGTGGAGGATATTATGATGATGATTTGATAAAATTCGTTGATACTTTGTTCCTGCCACGAATGTTAATCCGTTAATTAGCAACCACGTACGGCGACAAGTTGAATATCTCTAGATATTTCGTTAAAAATCATTATGCACATATTCGATTATGCCAATCCATATCGAGAGCGGATCAGTAAACTCTCGAACAAACCGGTTACACAATCGTCTTACATAGCTGGCATCGAGTTTTGAACGATCGAGCGGACCTCGTTTTCATACATTCTGAATTCCATTAAATCGATAACGCGCTATTGAGATAATAATACAGAGCGATTCACGAAATGCATATCCATGTTTCAATCAGATTGATCGTATATCGTAGTTTTAGATTTAACGAGTTGGTTAAGAAGAAGAATCGCAGGTGAAAAATTAAAATACTCCTCAACTTATCCTTTCCAACTATTTTTAACACGTAGATTCCCTTCCATGAAAAAGATACAATTTGTGAATCGTCCTGTATGTACATCGACGCAGAGAACAAAGAGATTGGATTCTTAGCGCAATGAAAATCACTGCGAACGACGTCGTAATTTAGCGATCGCTGTCTCACATTATATTCCCTCCGTTCTTATTCGAGGGAGTGATTAAACGAGGTTTACCATTCCACATGGACGAGGAAACAACGCGCGCCACTTGCGACGCGGAGTCCAGAAGCGAAGAACCGCGGCTTGCTGCGAGTTATAAAATCTCAATTTGCCGGATCTCCCTGCTACAATGGGGACTAATGAGTGTAATATTGGCCGGCCAGGGAGGGAAGAAAAGTAGGTGTTTGCGATTTAAGGCGGATCCGCTTCGAAAGGAATTGCCATTTTCCAACTTTCTTACCCGAGAAAACATCTTCAGACGAGGCGCTCGAGGAAGTATCATCTTCGAATTCGTTTGTATTCTGAAGGAAGGGAGGAAGGATCGAGCTTTTTATTATCGCGCTCCACTATCGCGTTTGTCAATGAGAAAGTTAACGAAGAATCTCGAGGAACGTCGTTTCCGCTTTAACTTTCTAATAAAGAGACGGTCGCCTCTCTCTCTTTCTCTCTCTCTTTCGCGTTTTAATTATTCGAGGAATGGTTGGATGTGTTGAATTATTAGCTCGTACAAACGCAGACGGTTATATTTAAACAAAACACGCGTGTGGTAACGAAGGCTCGTTACCACAGCGAGCCTGGAATTTTGAATAATCTTGTTCCACTCTTTCGTTGTTTCTTGATTTTGTGGCTGGTTTCGAAAGGAACATTTAATATCTTGATTCGAGGGAAACGACATGATACGAGATATTTTTATAATAGAAGGTATTATTCGTATTAAGAGATGGATAATTAACACGGTTTCACGGAATTCGTGAAATACGAGATGCTAACGAGATATTCATTCCTTTATTTCTTCACGATTGTGAATGTAAAATCGGAATCTCGTTAAAGGTTTCTTTAAGGTCGGTGAAGGTATCGAAGGGAGCTTTCGAAGGGAAGTTTGACAAGTTGTCTCAAAAGGATGGAGGTTTTTCAATTTGCAAAGTGAATCGCGAATGCTCGAATCGATTTCATCTTCGTTCAATGACACTGGAGAATTGTTCAAATATTCTGTGTCATGAGAAAATAGAGTTGGTGTATTCTTCTTGCATAAAAGCCGCGTGGTAACACTCGATAAATTAAAAGAAAGATATTTTGCATTTCGAACAAGCATTGACTAACGACACCTCGACTGATAATATCGCAGATATACTTCAGAATATCAAATTATTATTTTATTTATCTTACACTTATTTGTATCGTTCGAAATTTCTTCACTCTCCAATATCACTTCATAATCCCCTGTATAATCAAATTCTCAACTCGTTCATTTAAGAATTAAACTGCAAACTTTTTTTTCGAGAAAAGAAAAATAGTAATAATTGTTTTTATTCGGCACGTAACAAATCTCTTTGTCAAATTGAACGAACAACAGGCAAAACGATAGTTTTCGCGCAAGACAGCCCATCAACGCGTGATAGAATCGAGTTGCGAGGATTAAGCGAGCAGGAAGGGCGCAGCTAACATCGTAGAACATTATAATTCAATCCAAACCGTTAGCCACCGCGATAAATATTCTTGGATGGCGAAAACTCGCGCGTTAAACCACGTAAGTAAATCAGTGTTATTGTGCGACGAAGCGTGGCCCACCATCGCACAACTGTCACTACGATTCGCATTACTGCCGATCGAATTTACCAGATTTTCCCTAGCAAAAAGATTTCGTCGCACGGAAGATAGATACGCATCGATTTGAGAATACAAAATAATCTTGAACGTATAACTGGAATTAAATTAATAATACAATTGATTTCTAGAATCTTAGAGTCAATTTCTTCGTAGAATGATTTAAATCAAGAGAATTTATTTTAACGAGAATTTATCACGTTGCAATAGTTTAACGAAATTGTTTAAGTCAAAGTATAAAAGAGAATTCGTAGACAGAGGTAAATAAATATTCGTTCGATTTACAAATAAAATTTCAATGGACAAAATCATATTTTAACTCGAGCACGCGTTTGATTCACCACCATGGATTAAACGACAATTCCTTTCCTCCCCCCAAAAAAATATTTCGTTATACGATATCATAGAAATTTATCGTGATAAAATATTTTAGAAAGGAAATTTGCAAATTTCAAATTTTAATTCCTTAATTCTATGTCTGATCATCCTTTAAAACTGATTTAGCTAAACGTAATCCTAAATACGATTCCTATATATAGGGCATAATTTAAATCCTCTTTAAATCCTCTTGTAGCTCATCCTT